AGATAAAAAGAATAAACTACTTTCAGGTTAAATCCCCAAAAAAGGAAATCCCTGCTTGGATAGGCAACCCAGTGTTACTAATTACAACAGCTGCAAGAAAGAAGAGCTTAGTTGGGTTTTACGTTCCCCTCTTTGCTTCTTTTGCTCACCGTCTGCAATAAATATTTGTTAAATGGACATTTGCTTTCATCGACCTTGGAATTCAAACCACTTTTGTGTTTCATTAAAAAAAAAAAGATTACAACATTTTCACAGCATCAGATGTGATTTCTAAAAAAATGTTTGAGAGTTTAAAGCATTGTGTACGTAACTTAATATGCTTTTGAGAGCCTACTACATGTCAGGGTTCTTTAAGCCCTGCTAAAGACAGAAAACTCATCAATAACTTTATAAAAGACCTAACTGATGCTAAGTCCAAAATAAGTATGATCTTTTCCCCAAACTTTAAGAAAGATGAATATTAACTAACTCCTCCCTAAGTGTTCTCCCCTTAAGTTCTAATAACCTACATTCACAAACACCAAAATGTTATCCTGTAAGATATAAGTATATACTTTTATGTCTGCAAGGCATAAAATATATTTTTAGACAGTATCATAACTATTTTTTATTGAATCAGAAAATCTAGGTTTTTAAAAAAGATCCAAATATGAATTCACATGATAGTAATGGATGTGGCTGTGCAGTCAAATCATGTGGGTCCAGAGGGGGTCGTCTGTGTGTCTTTGCCTCAAAGCATTTGCTCTCTCTCCACTCCCACTTCTTACTTTCATGAAATAGAAATAGCACTCACAATCTGAAAGCTACCTTGAAATAATACAAACGTTATGACAGAGTTGAGAAAAGTGGATGAAGACCTGCATAAGGCTTGCCTAGGAAATGGCAAACTTAACTGAAAGGCTGACAAGTGACTAAGAATTGACAGACTCCAGTAAAAGAGATTCTCACTTGACTTAAATGAAGACTCCTTCCTAACCAATGAACAATGGGACTTGCTTTAGCCAACTGTGTAGGAACTTCAAATTCATCCTGACTACCCAAGGTACAAACTTCAATGGTCAACTGGCATATTCACAGTGAACTACTTCTTCTTAGCACATAAAACACATACATTGTCCCTGTCAGAGAATCATTTGGCAATGCTACTCACCTGTGTGAGTTTTCTTATATGGCAATTAAATAAATTCACTTGCATTTTTAATCACTGTGGTGACTTTGTCTTTCTTTCAACAAATTTAAATAGTTGGCCTTATTATGTTGTTTTCATGCCTCTTTTTTGAAAAATACAGTTTAGCCTATCATTTGAAAATATCAGACAAAAAAAGAAAGTTATGGAAACTAAATCATATGCCTGAACTTCTCAAAATTCTATAAATTATATCATCATGCAGAAAGGTGTAACAGTGACACTAAGTTATAATAGAAAACTCTATAATGTAGTATAACTTAGAGTTATAGTGATATTACAATGTTAAATCTCTTCACCTGAAATTAGATAGCATTTAAATAGAAGAAACCAGAATTTCAAATTTCTTTTCTCCATTTATAATGCTGCCAGTCCTTCCTAGCTTCAAAACCCCTGGCCTAAATTACACTTGCTTGACTTCTGCATATATGTTAATGACTGAACAAACGTCTTTCCTTCCACTGTGTTTCCTGACCAGCCTCAAATCTCTGGCTTAGCCAACTGTCCTTTTATTCTGATTTTCAAAGTACGTCATATGCTCACTTCTAGTATGGTATCAGTCATGCTTTATTCCAGTTGAGGAGATGCATATACGCTGTTCCAACAGGATTTCAGAGCCCCCTTCAGAGCATCTGAAAGTTCCTGGTATGAATGACCTTGGTGATCATTAAACCTCCTCTACCACATGAACTTTGTCAGGGGACAGGATGTTGGTGCGGCATATTTTCCCTAATTTAAGGCTCACAACTCTGTTGGTGATGTCTTATCTGAATTTTATACATAAATGCATATAATGTGTCTATGTGTTTTTAAGTTGGAAATTCAAAGGTATCATAATTTATGGCTAGCCATCAATGATTTGTTAAATATATCAATCTGCATTTAATAAATGGCATGTGCCCAGCAAACTTCTGTCACACAAATTATGTACATGTAATTATATATATATATATATATATATATATATATATATATGTATTTTTGTCAGAGACAGGTCTTGTTCTGTTGCCTAGGCTAGAGTGCGATGGCATGATCATAGCTCACTGCAGCCTCTAATTCCTAGGCTCAAGCAATCCTCCTAGCTCAGCCTCCCAAGTAGCTGGGAGTATAGGCACAAGCCATCATGTCCAGCTAATTCTGAAATTTTTTTGTAGAGATGGAGCCTTGCTGTGTTGCCCAGGCTGGTCTCAAACTCCTGGCCTTAAGTTATTCTCCCACTTCAGCCTGCCAAAGTGCTGGGATTACAGGTGGAAGCTGCTGCACCTAGCCATAAATTATATTTGATCATAAATGGAATCATAATTAATAAATCTGATGCCTTTGTTAAAAAATATTAGTATTAATCCAGGACATACAGAAAGCATTTGAATGAATAAATAAATTAATGAATAACTGGGCAATTCTTAGGCCTTACACATATTCAAATATGTTATTTTTCCTTATTGATGTGATTTTCCATAATTTAAGTTATAATTTCTGCCCATTCTGGTTTAAAACGGCTTTAAGCATTCATACGTGTAACAAAGCACAGTATAAACATCAGAGAAGAAAAAGATGATCAAAAATTAAAAATATTCTTTATAAATTCTAAATTATACATTCTTCTAAATTCTTACAGAAATATTCTTTATAAATTAAATTTTAATAAATATTATTAATAAATTTATTCTCTATAATTTATATAAAATATTCTTCATAAATTTTATGATAAATCTGGGTTCAAATCTTGGATCAGTCACTTATGGGTGTGTGGTGTTGGCAAAAAGTACCTAATCTTGAACTTGTAAAATAAGGATGACATCTAACTTACTGTGAAGATCAAATAAAACAAAGGATGTAAAGTGGAATGATCATCACATTGGAGGCACATGATTGAGGTTTTTTTAAGCTATTATACCTCCTCTGTCAAATTCCAAGATTGGGCTTAAGCATCTTTAGTCCCAGAAAAGACTGGCGAGGAGGTTTACTTGAGCTCTGGGTAGGGCCAACGGGTCTTACTTTCTGGTCAATGGAGGTATCCAGGCTTATGTTTTAGCTCAGAGAGTAGACATCAGGACAAAAAAAACTGTGCTGAGAAGCAAAGCAGCCAAGAGGTGTGAGTGCCTTCTCCCTCTGTATCAGCCAGAGCCAAGCGGCTCCTTGCTTAGTTAAAACGTAGTCTCACCTTTTTAGAGCTCGAAAGGAAAACCTAGTAATTCTTGATTTTTAAACGGGAAAACTAGGCTTAGGGGCAAAATAACTTTGCCTGGGGCTCCACAGCTGGTTGGAGGCAGGTCTGGAATGGAGTCCAGCTTTCTTGATACTTGTTCCATTATTCTTTCTCCTAAGCCTCTCTTTGCTTGCTTGGACAAAAGGAGGTGACATCAGCTAGGATGCCGAATTTCCAAGCCCTTGATCAGTTACCTATTGCTGCACAAACCTTCCAGAGGATATATACCAGAGAACACTCAAGGAAAACACATGATCTTTATTTCTAGTTGGGATTTGTCCATCTCCTTCTTCGCCCTAGTGTTCCTGGCTGGATTTTGTGGGAGTCTCAAGGACTCTCACTATCGCTTTGGACCAATTCCTGGATAAGAATCAAACCAAGGGGTCTGCTTCCTGTTTCCTCTCATGGGTCCCCTTGGAGCATGTTTGGCCTTCCAAGGCCATTTGGCATCCGAAGCCAAGAGGCAGCCTGCTGGCCATCTCACTGACCAGTCTCAAAGATGGGGAGGGTCCCCGATATTAATGATAACCATCAAGAACAGTAGTTATATCATCATATAAGTGCCTACTATGCAAACAACAATATGCTAGGTGATTTACATATGCTATTTCCTTTAGTCTCCACATATCCTATAGAGTGGGACTTATTATCTTCATTTTATAGATTTACAGATGTGGAAGCTGAGGTCAAATAATATACCTAAGGTTTTAGTGGTTGAACTGAGTTTCAAATCCAGATTCCATGCTCTCAAGAGTTATGATACTACCTTTCTCACCGATAGAGAGGTCAAAGAGTGTTTGCTCGATTTAAGGGTCCTTCATAACAAATTCCCCCCTTTCAATAAAAGCTACGTGTTCCAATAAGGCAGGCTAATTTGGCCTCATTAAAGATATGTCTTTTTTCTCACACATGTCAGAATTTCTCTTCTGTGTGGAAGAGACTAGATGGGACAGGGGAAAGACTGATATTTCTCCCTAGGGTTAGAGTGTACCCTTTATGGCAAGGATAATTTAATTGCTCTTGATTAAGAAAGGTCTCTATCTCCACCTATCAGCTGTTCTAGAAGATCCAGAAGTGCTTGTTAAAAAAAATCATTATTTTATTTTTTATACATTGCATAGAGTAAAGTGGTTTTTCTATTTCTTTTTAAATGGGTATGAGGGGAAACAGGTCAAAGAAATGTATACACAAATTCTGTATCCTCTAAGAGTATGTCTACACATGTGTGTATGAATATATGTGCACATATTCTTCTACCCATTAAAATACTTGCAAGTATTAAAAGCCAACACTTTTTAATTTCATTGATATCTGTTAGTGCTAGTTAACTGCCAGTGAATGGGCAGGACTCTGGAGTTGTGGGTGAAATGAGATGGCCCTGTTCTCAAGGAGCTATCAGCCTAGAAAAGGAGACAGGTCCCTAAAACTCAGGAATCCATATCCACTTAAATAATTTACCAAAAGAAATGAGTTTTCATATATAATCATAATTTGTTTTTAATTCTAGGAAATAAGTTACCTTATGATTAGAGATCAATGACATTAAATCTATCAAATTAAAACCATAACAGACACATTGCCATTTTCCTCAGCAGTTTACCTTACCTTCATCTTTTGGTGGTACTGATAAAGAATTCTGCATTATGATGTATTTGACTTGAATAGTATCTTTCCTAAAAATAACCAAGCACAAATAATTATTAGAAAATAACTGAGATATCATGTTAATACTAAAAACAAATTCTAAGCTGTTTTGAAAAGTCTGTTTTATAAACACGAGTAATAAGAAATGGATTGAGCTATTAAGAACTGATGTTTTTATTTTCTTCTCATTTTTCTACAAACAGGATTTTGCTGAATGTACTAGAATGGGCTTGCAGACAGATGTAACGGCATGCTGGCTTAGGACCTTACCCACATTTCTACTCTCGTGGGGTCATGTGTAAGTAGGCAAAGTTAGGATTCTCTGAAAATGTACTCTCTGATAATTGCTTCCAATACTTTAAGAAGAAATAGCTAAAATGCTTAACAATACACAGGCAATATAATTGCAGTATAATCATTTGATGAAATATAATTCAGTCATTAAAATGCAACTGTGAAGATTATGTAGCAATATAAAAATGTTAATGATGTGATGCACTGGATGAACACACTGAATGACAGACACTAGCATTACAAATACACAAAAAATAAAGAAAATATGTCAAGATATGTATTTACAGTGTGTTTGGTGATGGAATTACAGGTGCTCTCCCCCACTCCCCACGTTATAGCTATTTTCCAAATTGTGTATAATGTAGGTTTCCATATTAATAAAATATCTAAATAAAACAATTCAAATCTTTGAAAAATTTTCATAAGCTCTTAAACAAAAAAGTTTCTAAGCATGACACCAAGTACAGAGCCCATTAAGGAAAAGACTGATGAATTTTTCCATTTAAAATTTTTAATATTTTTAAAATAAGAAAATTGGACAAAACTAAAAGGCATGATTCCTATGTCTAGCCAAGGTGGAGTAACAGAGACCAGATTCATGCTTCTGCCTGAAACAACCAAAACATAGACAGAATATATGAAACAATGTTTTCAAAACACTGAACGTCAGCCATAGAGGTAGGAGGCAGAGAAATTCTAGGCAGACTGAGGTGAGTCCCTGGTGAAACCCCATCTTCAAGCCAAAATAGCCTGAAACCTGCAGCCCAAGATGAGAAGTTCTATCCCTGTTTGTCTGTTCTCTCCGATTGGTTATTTCTGAATAGGGCCTTTATACGAATCAAATGTTAAATGTTGCCTTTTCCAAAACTGCCCATGGCGTGCCCCGCCCCCCATTCTGTGCCTATAAAGATCCTGGACTCAGTCAGTAGAGAAGCAGCTTGACTGGAGAGAAGCAACTTGGCTTCAGCGGGATGGCTGGACTTCAGAGGAGAGATGGCTTAACTTCTGGAGAGACAGTTTGGCTTCAGGGAAGATTACCTGCCCGTCCCATCCTCTCTCTAGCTCCTCACTCCACTGAGAGCCATTTCCATCACTAAATAAAATTATCTGCCTTCACCATCCTTCAAGTGTCAGCACGACCTCATTCTTCTTGGACCCCACATAAGAGCTTGGGATCCACTGGATGCAGGTACCCAAAAAAGGCTGTGAAACTGGCCCTTTGCCCTTACTGGCAGAGTGGCAGATGCCCCACGTGACAAGGCCAGGGGCCCACTGAGCTGATAACACACTGCTGTCCACAAATGGCAAAGCTAAGAGAGCACTGCAGTGTGCCCTCTGGGGTTTCAGGGGTCACAGGCACCCCCACCTGGGTGCCACTGCAGGGCATGCACAGAGCTTGCTCCTGCTGGCACCCAAAGCAGCTGGCCGGATCCCACTCTTATTTGCTCATGTCTTCCCTCCCGCAAGGGGTTGAGTGTGGCAGGCTGAGTAAATGGGGCACCCCCATTGCAAGTCCAAGAAAGGAGTCAAAAAACATCCTGCATCATCAGGTCATGAAAAACTGATTCCTGAGAGCCAGGAAAAAATTGCAATGAGCCCTATAGAAATAACTGCGATGAGCCCTATGTGAGGAAAGATCCTTGCAGAGATTTCCAGAATACTGGAAAAGAGAGCTACACACAGAGAGAGCACAACAGAGAGGGTCCCCACAGGGTATTTACCTTTGTAATGATCAGCACAGGCAAGTGAGGAAACACCTCAAGACCAAGGAAAGGTCCAAGGTACACTACAGTCACAGAACAGGAATATTGCCTGTTCCCACTACCTAGAGTAAAAAATCCTCAAAATTCACAAAGAAATGGGTAGAGTACACAGGAGAGTCTTGCCTTACTGGAGGGAATACTCAATTCTAGACTGTGCATTTCTCTGGTTTCACAAAAATCTTAAAGCAAGACATAAAAGGATTAAACTAAAAAAAAAAAAAAAAAGGATTAAACTGTTTCAAACTATTTTAACTATGCACCAGAAAAAAACCTCACAAAATATTTACAGAAATACAAAAATATCTACCACCCAATAAAGTAAAATTCATAATGACTGACATCTAATAAAAATTACCAAGCATCCAGAAATGCAGAAAAATACAATCTATAATTTAGAAAACAATCAAAACTGACCAGGACTGACATATATCGGAGTTAGCAGACAAGGACATTAAGTGTATAACTAGATTTCACATGCTCAAAATGTTAAGTGCAGGTAGAATACATATGAAAAAAATCCAAATAAAATTTCTAGAGATGAAAACTACAATGTATAAGATGAAAAATATACTGCATAAAATTAATGGCACATTTAGACATGTCAGAAGAAAACATAAGCAAATCTGAAGGCACAGCTATCAAGACTACACAGAATGAAGAAGAAGAGAGTAAAACTGAAACACAAACAAACAAACCACAACCAAGAACATCAGTGAGCTGCAGGAGAACTTTAAGAAGATTAATACGCCAGTTATTTGGAAAGCAGAGAGATGGAAGGGCAGAAAAACTATTTAAGAAATAATGGGAGAACATTTTCCAAATTTGATAAAACTGTGAACCCACAGATCCAAACATCTCAAAACACTGATTCACAAGAAACATGAAACATATGAAGGTATATTATTGCCAAAATGTTCAAAACAAGTGAAAAAAAAAAGTTTTTAAAGACACCCAGAGAAAAAGATACATTGCATATAAAGGAACAATGATAAGGATCACAACAGATTTCTCCCTATTAATAAAACAATTCGAGTCCAAAGACAATAAACAACAATAACAACTGTAATCTAGAAGTCTTAGAACTCCAGGCCCCAACGTCTTCTCTGATGACTTCTACTGGATATTTAAGGAAGAAATAATACCAATTAGACATAAATCCTTCCAGAAATTTAAAAAGGAGGAAGTCTTTACTATCTAAAAAGCATTATCTAGATATCACAACCAGATAAATCTGTTATGAGAAAAGATTCCTATGGTCCAATATCCTGCATAAGCACAGATGCAAAAGTAATAAACAAATTTCTAGCAAATCAAATCGAACAATATGAGAATATATCATGACCAAGTAGGGTTATCCCAGGAATACAAAATTGGTTTAACATTCAAAATAAATGTAATTCACCATATTAATACATTAAAAAAGAAAACTACATGGTTATTTTAACAGATACAAAAATTGCATGTGATAAAATCCAACATCCAATCCTGATTAAAAAAAAAAAAAAAACCTTTATAATTTAAGAATAATAAGGAACTCCTCACACTGGTGAAACATTATCTATTAATATGAGAAACCTAAAACTAAAGTCATGCTAAACAATGAAAGACTCAATGATTTCCCTCTAAGTTCACAAACAAGAGAAGGACATCTATTCTCACCACTTCTATTCATCCTTGTATTGGAAGTTCTAGCCAGTGCAATAAAACAAAAATAAATAAAACACATTCAGATCGTGAAGCAAGACATAAAATGGTCTTTATTTGTAGATGACATATCTAGGTAGAAAATTCAATGGGCTCTCCAAAAAGCTCTTCAATTTAATAACTGAGTTTAGCAAGTTTGCAAAATACAAGATCAATACATGATCAATTTACAAAAATAAATTATATTTTTGTATCCTAGAAATAATCAGAAACTGACAACAAATCAGAAATTAAGACACCATTTATAACAGCATAAAAATGAAATAATTAAGGATAAGCCTGACAAAATATACAAAAGACCTATACACTGAAAACCAAAAAACATGAACAGAGAGAAATTTTAAAAGATTAGACAAACAAAGAGATATATCACGTTCAAAGGCTGGAAGACGCAATGTTGTTAAAATGGCAAGTCTTCTTCAAATAGATCTATAGAATCAGTGTAATCCTAATAGAAATCCCAGTAGACTTTTTGCAGAAATCAACCAACTTAATTTTTAAAATTCACAGGAAAATAGAAAGAACCCAGAATAACCAAATTTTCTTTTTAAAGAAAGAAATCAGACTAATGTTACTTTAGTTTCAAGAAAGATAGACATATAGATCAATGCAATGGAATAGAGAGTCCATAAATAAATCCATACAGGTATGCATTCTCATGGAATTCCAAAGGGAAAGCAGTGGAGCATGAATAGTCCCCTCAACAAATGATGATGATTTTTCCATATGCAAAAAGCAAAAAAAGAACTTTGAGCCATACCTCACACCATATACAAAATTTGAAATGCATCATACACCAAAATGTAAAACACAAAACTTCTAAAATAGAAAACTTCTAAAAGAAAATACTGTGCCCTTTAGTCAGGCAAAGATATATTAGATATAGCATCTGAAACATAATCCATAAAATAACAAACTAACGAACTAAACTTCTTCAAAATTACAAACTTCTGCTCTTCAAAAGACACCAATAAGAAAATGAAAAATTTGCTCCCATAAATGGGAGAAAATATCTGAAAATAATCTGAAAAAACTGTAAACAAAAGCTCTCCAAACTAAGTAAGAAAACAAACCTCCTAATTTACAATGGGCTAAAGAGGTGAATATACACTTCTCCAAAAAAGATACATGGCTTGCAAATAAGAACATGAAAAGATGTTCAACATCACTGGTTATTAAGAAAAGATACACCTACCTTAGGATCCAGCTAATCCCTTTCTACCAACACAAGAGAAATGTAAGCATATATCTATACAGACTTATACAAA